TAGGTTTTAAATCTTTGAATGTTTGGTAGAATTCACTGGTGAAGCCATCTGGTCCTGGACTTTTACTTTTTGGTAGGTTTTTGATGATTCTTTCAATTCCCCTATTGGAGATCGGTCCATTTAGATTTTCTATTTCTTCTTGATTTAGTCTAGGAAGGTTGTATTTTTCTAAGTACTGGTCCACTCCTTCTAGGTTATTAAATTTGGTGTTACATACTTTTTCATAGTATTCTTGTATGATCCTTTGTATCTCTGTGATGTCAGTCGTAATTTCCCCTTTTTCATCCCCGATTTTGTTTATTTGTATCTTTTCTCTTTTATCTTTTGTCAGTCTAGCCAGGGGTTTGTCAACTTTATTGACCTTCTCAAAGAACCAGCTCTTTGTTGCATTTATTTTTTCTATCACTTTTTTTTTTTTGTTCTGTTTTCAATTTCATTTATTTCTGCTCTAATTTTGATGATTTCTTTCCTTCTGCTGACTTTGGGCTTCATTTGTTCTTTCTTTTCTAGTTTTTTAAGATGAAGCGTTAGGTTGTTTATTTGGGCTTGTTCATGTTTTTGGAGATAGACCTGTAATGATATAAATTTTCCTCTTATGACCGCTTTTGCTGTGTCTCAAAAGTTTTGATATGTTGTACTATCATTATCATTCATTTCTATGTATCTCTTGATCTCTTTTTATTTCTTCTCTGACCCAGTTATTCTTCTGTAGCATGTTGTTTAATCTCCATGTATTTGTGATTTTTCCTGATTTCTTTCTGCAGTTGATCTCTAGTTTCAAAGCATTATGATCAGAGAATATGGTTGATATGATTTCAACCCTCTTATATTTGTTGAGGCTATCTCTGTATGTGGTCGATTCTTGAGAATGTTCTATGTGCACTAGAGAAAAATATATAAGCAGCTCTTTTGAGATGATAGGCTCTGTAAAAGTCAATAATGTCCAGTTGGTCTAATGTATTGTTTAAGGATGTTATTTCCTTATTAATTTTCTGCTTGGATGATCTATCTATAACTGACAGTGGGGTATTTAGATCCCCAACTACGATAGTGTTCTGGTCTGTATCTTTCTTTAGTTCTGTTAGTAATTGCTTTACATATTTCGGGGTTCCTTGATTGGGAGCATAGATATTAATGTGTTATGTCTTCTTGCGCATGATTTCTTTTATCATTATGAAGTGTCCCTCAGTATCTTTCTTTACCTTTTTTATTTTGAAGTCTGTTTTGTTTGATATTCGTATTGCTACTCCTACTTTTCTCTGAACACCATTTGCTTGAAATATCATTTTCCAACCTTTTACTTTGAGTCTATATTTGTCTTTGGAACTGAGATGTGTCTCCTGAAGGCAGCTTATGGTTTCATTTTGTTTTTTGATCCATTCTGCAACTCTGTGCCTTTTTATTGGTGAGTTCAGTCCATTTATATTTAGGGTTATTATTGAAATATGAGGTCTTCTTATAACCATTTTATCTTTTGCTTTCTGGTAGCTTGGTGTTTCCAATGTTTCTTTGTCCTTGTATTTCTGTTTTCTTTATTTTGGTTGGCTTTTGTGGGTTTTCCTTCTGGTTCTTCTTGCTTTATGTTATATACTTCATTTCTGAATCTTTGGTGTGTGGTTACCATTACCAATATGAAAAGGAGAGTTTGTTAATTTGGATCTTTGAATCCTCTCCTTTTCAGTCACTGTTATCTCATTTGTCCCTATTTATGCTGAACGTTCATTACTATCTTGCTATAGCAATTCTCTTCTTATTATTTAAGCTTATAAGACCCTGTTCTTAGTAAAGATTGCACTCCTCTGCTTCTATTTGCCTGATAGTCACTTTAATCCTAATTGTGTTTTATTTTATTTATT